GACTGAAATGATCATTTGTACACTCAAAATATAGGCCGACAAAGCCATACAATAATCCATATATATGACATCTGTCTACAAGCCTCTAAGAGTACATAAACATCATAAAAGTCGGGATAGGGCCCCACCATACCAATCAATACATGTCCAAATCATACTGACCAAATAGGCAACTCAGGAGCAAGTAGAGTGCACCAATACCTTCCGTTGAGCTGATAGCCTACAGGGAGGATTGTCCACCTGTCTATCGGGTCCTTCGGGCATGAAACGCAGTGTCCTCAGGCAAAAAGGACTTCAATACAAATAAAGTACCGAGTATGTAAGGCATGAAAAACAGTAAGGCATGAAAAACAGTATATAAAAGACATGAAATAAACATGGAGTAAAGGACTCAACCTGTAAGTCTGAATAGCTCTGTGAATCACAAAACATTTATAATGTCATACAATGCATATAAATGTCACATCATGCATAGGTATATGCGTACATAACATCATCAAGCCTCTGAGGGCATTCCACCTTATCATCTCGACCTTTGTGGGCGAAATCATCAACGTATACTGGCTGATCAGGTGGTGGTGCATATATAACGCCATAACCTTTCCCCATACCCCATATACATATAATATATACGTATATAACGTCATTTGGCCATGGGTCAATGTACATGCATAAATGAATGCAATGCATAAGAAGTAAGTCAATAAGATCTCTCGGGATGTCATAAGATCAATATGCCTTCAGTTAATATCATGAAATAAACTTTATCAACTTGCGTATTTTCTTATGCATGGGTTTCTATTCTTATGTTTATCAACTTTTGTATCAAGTGAATCAATATGCATCAAGTTTTATATGTTTCTTTCATCAATTCACTTGATACACATATAGACATGCTTAACAACAGAATAACCTTTAAACAGCCCAACAAAAGATAACAACATCTCTTCCCCTTTTAAGTGGACTATGGTGTATTTTTTTGGAATTTGTTTGAAGCTTTGGGGGAACTATTTGGGAGGGTTCGGAGGAGTGTAGGGACGAGGTTGGGTCAAAAAATAAGAAATAAAGGTCATCCAAATCATTTTTAAAGTGAAGTAGGTCAACCACCTCCTAAGTGAGTCCCATTAGGAGCTGCTTGCGCAGTATCGCAAAAATGAGAATATCACTCTACTCCAATAATGTATCAACAAACGGTTTAATGCATTAGAAACTAGACTCGTATATATTCAATTTTATATGTGGATCATCCTATAATTCCAAGTATATTAGGAGAAAAGCTCTGCTACATTTGACCTAATATTTAGCATATTATGAATGTAACTTGTGATGACCTTTTTCCATCTTTTGTTCCACAACTCGCTTGACTTCAAAATGTAACACACGACTATCATACAACTAAAATAACTAATAACATAACCTCTTTATCATGTTAATAACCCTAATATCACCCCAAAAGTACATGTTATAACATTCCCAACTTGTCGACATTCGACGAAACTTTTCTTCAATTTGTTTAGCTTCTAAGCCTTTCAACCCTCTTGGTACTTGCTATCCATGATCTTAAAATTTTTTATGCTCCAAGGTAACATGATTAACTTACTTTATGTACTTTCAAAGACGATCTCATTTCTGAGCTTACATCAATTGACTTACGACGTACTCTAATGTACGAAAATATGGGGTGTAACAGTTAAAGTGTTGGCTTGACTGGCAAGTACGTTAGGCGCCATCGCGACCATTGGTAGGATTTTGGGTCGTGAAAAATCATAAATCCATTTCATGATCCGCATAACTCAGACACAAATCCTATATCTTATTGACGAGCGCAAAACACACACTTAAATATGCTCGCTAGTTGAATATAGTATAATATAATATCGTATCCACAGGGATTGGAGTTAAACAGTATTTTCATAGTTTATAGCTCGGTTGCTATCCAAGATGATCAACAGTTGAGAATTATATGATTAAAAACTAAAATTAACTAAGAATCTAGAGCTACTGACTATGACAGTCGCAACAAACGTAAGCAAGGAAGCTATCAATTGGGATATAACTCTAGTTAATTCACTTCTATTGTTTAAGTGAGTCTCTCGAATTGACTCGGTTATTAGTTCAAATGTTTAGTAGAAACTCCTCTCTGGATTAAGTCTCAACCTCACAATATGAATCAATTTAAGTTCGGTGAAGATATGCAAGAGTTCATAGTGGATTGGTCTTTAGGAGAACCTCTCTCGATTATCCTCCTAATTAGTTCTAAACAATAATTCAACTAGCTTCTTTCGATTACTAAGAAGAATTAATGAATTCAACCAACAAGATAATGCAAAGATATCACAAGTATACCTCCCTCGATTACATGAACATGTGAATATAGATGCAATAATTAAAACACCCAAAATGATTCAATACATAAAACTAGAGTTAATATCCGCAAATAAACATCAAAACACAAAATCCTTCAATCTCTAAAGAGAACTACTCCATAGATATGGAGTAATTCATCACAAATAAGTTTAAGTTAAAGAAAAATATAAAACGATCCAAACTTTTGTCTTGAGTGAGGATTGAATCATGAAATCATTGTGCTCTTGCTTCTCCCACTTCTCCTTAGCCTCCTTATGTCTAAAGTATGTCAAAAGTCCAGAAAATACCGTTTTTCCATGTATATATACCAAGTAGGGTTGGACCTAAGAGAAAACACCTTTTCCTACGCGAAATAGGACACTTTCCGAAGTTAGACGTGTGTGTCCGCGTACCTGGGAGTGTGCTCGTGCACTTTGGACAGTATTTTGCCTAACTTGCGTGCCCAGTGCGCGCTCGCGCACCTGGGTGACCTCTGAACTTTGCCAATTTCTGACATAAATTTACACTGCTGCGTCGCACTAGTATATTTTTTCAGCAGTTGAATCTTCCTTGAATTTTGACATTCAACAGTGATTTTTGATCCCCGAACACGATCCCGACTTATTCCTTTGGGCTTTTACTCAAACTTCAAAGCTCCAAATAACTCGAATTAGTTCCACAATATCTACATAATTCGGAATCACTCTTACAAGGAATAAAATATATAATTAGTGCAAAACACTAGTGATTGAAAGCTCAACTCAATTAAAGTGCAGTAAATTAGAGTGCGATAAACAACTAAAACGGGCAATTATAGCCTACTATCACTTACCTCGCTAGTGTTTTTCTAATTTAATTTCAGTGATCTCATTCACTGTCAAGGCATATTTTGTGAAGTGTTCTCCTACCCCTATCACCAGAGATAAAGTCAACTAGAAACCATGATCAGTCGTGGTTTGAAGATGATGATTTGAAGATTCATTCGAAGGAGAAGAGTATCTTGGTTGCCAATACCGAGGTTGACCGAATCATTTCACCTAGCAATAGAAAAAGTGAAGTTGGCACGGGTCAAAGGAGAAAGAAAGGAGGAATTCCACTTTGAAAAAGAAAAGAGCAGTTCCAAACGAAGGAGTCAATCTTAAGGGGCATGCTTCCCAGAATCCAAGTGTCATGTCCGAAAAAAGCTTCTTTTTAGTATTTTCGTGCAATGAACAAAAAGGTAAGAGGCAGGGCTCAGTCTCAAGATTTAATCCAATCCAACTGCACCAGGTGTAATGTGTGGTCACCGAGTCGTCATATGTGTGTGTGTGCGTCTCTCTCTCTCTCTCTCTCTCTCTCTCTCTCTCTCTCTCTCTCTCTCTATATATATATATATATATATATATATCAAAATAGTGAATTCTATTCGCCAAGTTCAATCTAAAGATATATGGGAAACTACAATTTAGGAGGATATTAAAGATTTAAAGTACACCGACTATTAAAGATAACATTTTGCGTGCCAAAGAAAGCTATAAACTGATATCATATCACTTCGTCATGATAATAAGTGTAAAAGATGTATTGAAAGTAATATAGGGTCTGAGCAGAGCCCTAGAACCAAGTCATAATAGAAACTACATAGTAGACTAAAGTTTCAAATAAGTTTTTACAAGTTTCTTCGCCAAGTTCAATCTAAAGATATGTGGAAAACTATAATTGAGGAGACTATTAAAAATTTTAAAGTACACCAACGACAATTAAAGATAACATTCTGCATGCCAAATGAGGCTATGAACTGATATCATATCACTTCATCATGATAATTAGTGTAAACAATGTGTAATTTAGAGTCTAAGGAGAGCTCTAGAACCAAGCCAAGTTGAAAATTACACAGTGGAATAAAGTTTCAAATAAGTCACAAGATCTAACTTCAAACGAGCACAACTCCTAAGATATACAGTGTTATCTATTCATAGCCTGTTTGCCAAGCTTCCTTCTGGCGAAAAGTATTATTTTCCAAAGTTTATGTGTTTGACCAAGCTTTTAGAAGGGAAAATGCTTTTGAATAGAAGCACAAACAGTTTTTTAGAAGCAGAAAAAAGTAGTTTCTTTTGAAAAAAGTACTTTTCAAAATAAACTAATTTTAGAAGTTTGGTCAAATATACTATTACTACCTATCAAATATAATCTCCATGAGTCTAGTTTTCGATACTTCTACTCAAAAGAGTTATCTTATTCATAGCCTATTCGGCTAAGCTTCTTTTTGGCAAAAAGTATTTTTTTCCAAAGTTAAAGGTGTTTAACGCCAAGCTTTTAAAAGGAAAAAAGTATTTCTTTTTGGCCTGTTTGACCAAGCTTTTTTTTGGTCAAAAGTACTTTTTTCAAAGATAAGGCGTTTGACCAAGTTTTTAGAAAGAAAAAATATTTTTGAGTAGAAGGACAAATAGATTTTGAGAAGTAGAAAAATATTATTTCTTTTGAGAAAAAATACTTTTCAAAATAAACAGATTTTAAAAGTTTGGTCAAATATATTATTACTACCTATCAAATAAAATCTCTGTTTGTTAAAAGAGAGCGAAAGGATTTTAAAAGCTTGAAACTGTTTGTTATTTGGACATTACTATAAGAAGTTATGAACCTTTTACCAAAGGTAGCAAAATAGCCAACTGAAACCCGAGCCAATTGCGGCAAACAGATCCAACCATAGCATCAACCGTGGTAAATGATTTCAATCGTGGCAAATTTCAGCAGAGAGTGAAAGGGAAGGCCTGAGGCTCCAGGCCAACCATGGCAATAGTTGCCTCCAGAGTTGCCCTATGGCCTCTATATTTTGGGCTACGAAGAGAGAGAAAGGAGCATATGTTTTGGACAACTTTTGGGACTGGGGAGAAGGTGGAGCATCCCAAACCAGATACACTCCAAGGTGAGTTTTAATGGTATTTTTAAGTAGATTTATAGATTCTTGCTTGAATCTTCATTATAGCCTAGAACACCATGGAATTCGAAATTTAAGACTTGGTTACCAAGAGGTAATTTCTTCATCTCACACCTGAACATGATTATAGATTAAGTATTTAAAAGCTGTTGTAAAGTTGAAAATACAATTTGTATGACGAATAATACTAGTTCTATGGATTAAGTATGTTGAAGGTGTTGTAAAGTAGAAAACACTGTTTATATGAGGAATAATACTAGTTCTTGAAATAAATATTGTTGAGATGTTGAAGGTGTTGTAAAGTAGAAAACACTGTTTATATGAGGAATAATACTAGTTCTTGAAATAAATATTGTTGAGATGTTGAAGGTGTTGTAAAGTAGAAAACACCGTTTATATGAGGAATAATACTAGTTCTTGAAATAAATATTGTTGAGCTACGGTTTATAGTGAAGAAGATGAGGAATAATATTGGTTTAAGGTAAATAATAGAATTGAGTGTTTCATATGTATTGAGTTCTTTAACACCATAAATGGAGGAAATAGTATTGTTACACAAGAATAGATCCCTACATGAAAGAACAAGTATTATTATGAGTTGAATTGGACTTATACAGATCCGAATTATGACAAGTATCTATTGTAACTTGTAGATTAACTCTTGTAGAGTCAATTGAGATACATGAAATTCGGGTTAATTTCACTGGTGGTCATTCAACTAAGTATTAATTTCACAAAAATCACTCAATTTTTATTTGTACTCAACTTATAGATTATAACTTTAAAGTCATTTTGGTGGTTTTTCCAACGTATTTACATGAAAAATCTAACATGGCAATATAGGATCATTTTTAAAATGCCACATCAACTTATAAGGACCCATTTTTATTATTTTATCTCATATCAACCCTTCCTCTTATTTACGAGTCCCTATTTACCGACCCATTACCCATTAACCCATTGTGTTATATAAATCAAATCCCAACCGATTACCAACTTTTCACTTCTCCTTCTCTATTCCATTGTGCTATCTACTTTTATCATTAAACATATTTCATTAAAAGTAGTTAATTTTGACAGTTAGAACCCTTTGCTCAATTTGAAATAGTTAATACAGGAGCACAATATGTAACTAATAAGAAGCATTTGCGAAAATGCTATTTCTTTAATGTCAAAATACTTAATTAAAAAAAAAAAGCTTAATAAGCAACACTCACAATTAAAATGCATAATAGAGCATGCTTAATTTGTCTAAGGAAAGAGAAGTAAGAATGAGAACCCAGGGCATCTTTTGGTTTGAATGGATGGGGTTCGTTTTATATTGACCCAGCCATTTGTATAATGGGTCACGGTTCAGACATTAAAATCGGTGAAGCCGATGGTTTCACCATATATCAAAAAAATGAGTTCTTATAAGCTGATGTGGCATTTTTAAAAAGCCATTACCAGATTTTATGTTGCCATGTCAGATTGTTTATGGATATATGTGGGAGAAACCATCAAAATGACTTTAAAGTTACAATCTATAAGTTGAGTTATTTTAAAGTGACAAATAAAAGTTGAGTAACTTTTGTGAAATTAATACTTAGTTCGATGATCACTAGTGAAATTAATGCCGCTAAACTCTTGTTAGCAAGAAGAAAATCTAAGTTAGGTTGAGTTGCACTCCTTTCCATAGAATTGTTTCTTTCCAAAACTTCAGGTCTTCTAAATGTGACTATGTGACCAAATGGCCTTTAAATTGCTAATGTGTAATTTTAGGTGACAAGTAATTATACACTATCCATATATCCTTAAATGATATATATGGTTTCGAATGCTATATTTCACAAGATGATATGATTATAAATGTTTTCAATACTCCAAATGAACATAATGCTATAATTTTCAAAAGAATTGAATACGACGTTATGGTTTTCAAAAAATAATAATTATGGTTATCTCTTACAATGCTGATATTAGTTTTCTGACTTTTGTTATTGTCACTGATCTATTGTTATTGTTTATTTTCGTCTTCTTGATCCGAGGGATTTTCGGAAACAGCCTCTCTACCCCTCCGGGGTAGAGATAAGGTTTGCGTACACTCTACCCTTCTCATACCCCACTTGTGGGATCTTACTTGGTTGTTGTTGTTGTAATAATTATGGTTATGAAAATGAGTTTAAAATGAAACATTCGCTATTGAGTCTAAGTTTAAAGATTTTATTTATGAATTATGGGCCTCGAGAGATTTTGCTCAAGTGTCATAGGTGCCAAATATTAAGAAAGGGGCCTAAGGTGCCAAATGAAATATAATATTTTTGGGTCTTATTATATAACCAAGAAGATATTGGCCGAAGGTACCCAATATCCAAAGCTACCCGTGTAGGTGTAGGAATATAGTCGTCCCATTGGTTTGGTCGATTAGATAGTCTTTCTTAGTTGTGATTAATAAAACGCTAGCATATAAATATTGTACCACACAATATTGTGATGAGATGGGTTAGTCAATTGGTCGAGATTGGACTTCATATCGTATGCATCATGGTTTAATGATTGTGTAGGTGACTAATATACTTCCCACTAAACGTATAGTAGTTTGTTTAAAGTTCAAACGTTTAAATATTTTATGAAATGAAACTGTTATTGTTTTGAATTTGTATATTGTCTCTCCATGTTTGCTTTATATGTCTTGTCCCATTATATGTGAGAGAATTGATTATGCATACAGAGTACTTTTTATTGTATACTCGCGTTCCTTTTTCCGGGGCATTGCATCTCTTTCGTGAATGCAGGTATTGCTATTCAGGATGGCATGGTTACTTACTAGGCATCTCCCTCTCTTCCAGCTAATTATGTGAGTGCTTTAATTTCAGTGGACATATTGAGTCCAGTTAATTTATGTATTTAAGTAGTTTATGAATATTGTAGGTCATGTAATTTTGTATAAAATAATATTATTGTACTCATGATATTGTGCATAAAGTTTTTTAAAAATTTATAGGCTAAGACACCGGGTGCCGTGTTTGCATTTCCAATTTTGGGACGTGACACAAACGTGGAAAGTATAGATTATGTAATTGATTTGCAGCTTAATTAAGGCCTTCCAGCAAAGGCAAACAACAACCAACTTACACTTTTGACATGTAATAATCTTCAGTTTAAATCTAAATTGATAAAGTTTTCAATTTGATTCCTGAAAAAGTAAATAGGTACATACTTTTTATATTAAAACTGTACGACTAAATTGTGCCATGCAGCTGTGTCAAAAACTATTATGACTTAGAATCTCCTAAAGATTAACAACTTAAATATAGTAGTATTATCTAGAAGTGGAGGCCTCTGCTGCAAATGGTCTTAATGATTAATGAGTTGCCCTATCCTCGATTAGTTCCATAGGTAACCACGACAGCTTTTTCACCTTTTGAAATATAGCCAGGCATTTACACATATATATAAAACTAACATCTTTCAGACTTTTCATTGTAAGATTATCACGTAAACAGATTAATATGCACATGCATCATCTTCAAACACCATACATTTAAAGTTGTAAAGCATTATAACAAAATGGAGCACGAATGAGGAATATTGAGCCTTTATAAATATGTAACGACTTGGCCGGTCGTTTTGATCATTTACATTTACGTTCAGTGGTTCGAGGCCACGAGTAGCCTCATATGATGTATTATGACTTGCGCGTATGGTCGACTTCGATTTTCGAGCGGTTCGGGATTGATTTGGAAGAATGATTCTCATTTTAGAAGCTTTAAGTTGGAAGAGTTGACCAAGTTTGACTTTTGCATATTTGATCTTGGATTGGAGTTTTGATGGTTCTGTTAGGTCCAGATGGTGATTTTGGACTTAGGCGTATGGCCAGATTTAGATATGGAGGTTCCTAGGTTGTTTTGGCTTGAATTGGCGAAAGTTGGATAGTTGAAGGTTTGGAAGGTTGATAGGTTTGACCGAGAGTTGACTTTTCAAATTGCAGTTTCAGGAGTTGATATAGGTATGTTGTTTCATTTTGGGTTTGCATGAAATATTATAGATCATTCCGAGTTGATTTGATATGGTTCGGCATGCGTTTTGCAAGTTGAAAGTTTATTAATTCGCTAGGCTTGAATTGAGGTGCGATTCGTAGTTTTGATATTGTTTGGTGTGATTTGAGAACTCTCTCCATTATCTTTTGGGATTGGTTGGTGTGATTGGACGGGGTCCCCAGGGCCTCAGGTGTGTTTCGGGTGAGTTTCGGATCTTTTCACTCAAGCTTGGGGTGCAGATTTTCTGGTGTTCTACTGTTCATCGCGATCGCGGTGTGTTTTTTGGTTGGCTGACGATTTGCTCTTTGCGTTCGGGGGGTTGTTGTCGCGTTCGCGGAGCCTGGGTGAAGTGTTCTTTGCGTTCGTATCATGTGCATCGTGTTCGCATAGAGGGTGAGCTAGACGGGGCCGCCAAGTGATTGGCCTTCGCGTTCGCGTATTGTTGTTCGCGTTCACATAAGCTAGTGTAGACGAGGGTCGCGTTCGCAGGCTCCAGACCGCATTCCCATAGGAGGACATTTTAGCAGTGTTGGAATTGTTCTTCGCGATCGCGATGTTGGTCCCGCGATCATGAAGGGAACCGCTGGGCAGTCTTATTTTAACATTTCATTTCGAGGGTTTTGGTTAATTTATCATATTTTGAGTTATACAGCTCGGATTTGGGTGATTTTGGAGGAGAGTTTTTCGATTTGGATTGGGGTAAGTATTTTTGACACAGATTTGGTTGTTAATCATGATTTCATCTTTGTTTTAGTTTAATTGTTGAATCTAAGTGAGGAAAATTGGGGATTTTAGTAAAAAATATTTCTAAATGAAATCTGATGATTTTAAGGTCGATTTGAGGTCGGAATTGTATGAAATTGGCATGGTTGGACTCGTATTTGAATGGGTATTGAAAATTTGTGAGTATAGACGGGTTGGGGTGCGGGCCCGGGGTTGACATTTTGGGTTGACTTTGTATAATTGAACCAATATCGTAGCTTTATCGTTTGCGCTTGTTTCTGTCACGACTCAAAATCCAACTAGTCGTGATGTCATCTAACCCAACCTGCTAGGTAAACCAACTAACAACAATTAATTGCGAATGAGATTTATTGAAAAAATAAAAGATGAAACAACTGAACTATTATACAACTTCCCAAGGACTGGTAGTACAAATCATGACCTTCTAAGATTTAGAGTTTACAAAGCTGGTATGAAATAAATACATTATCTGTTCGAAATATACATAAACAGATTTATAAATCTAAAGCTACCAAGAACAAGAGGCAACTATAACCAGAATGCAGGTACATCTTCAATGCCAGCTCCCGCCATATGCAGCAATATCAACTCCAAAATCTGCACAGAAGGTGCAAAACTGTAGTATGAGTACAACCGACCGCATGTACTCAATAAGTAACAAATCTAACCTTAGTTTGAAAGTAGTGACGAGCTTGGACAACTTCAAAGTCTAACACCAATAGCCAAGAACAACTCGTAACAATATAATAATAGCAATACTAGTAATAACACAATGATATGATGCTCAACTCGTTCACAGTTATGAAAAAATAAGCATGTTTTTCAAGTATAACAGTAAAACCCAAATCTTTCACCGAAATCACCAAAATATGAGTATATCAGAAAAAATGTGATTTTTTCCAAAAACTTTCAACAACAGATAAGATAATTCATTCTCAGATAGCATGAAGAAAGTACATCTCTATCCCTACATCTTAATGTGCATGTGAAGTCATGAATGTCACAATATCGTTTAGCGTGAGGAAATGCATCTCTATGCCTACATGCCAAGTATGCATGTCAAATGTAGTGCATCCTAGTGATGAACTCATGTACTCATACTCCCAAAGTACTCAATCTCCATCTCATCCTCAATCACTCGGTACACTCAATCACTTGGCACTCGGTACCCTCAATCACTCCGCACTCGGTACCTACGCTCACTGCTCGTATGTCAGACTCAAGAGAGGCGGATCCTGCCCAAACGCTAATATAAAGCCCACATGGCCTACTGCAGCATGCAACCCGATCCATAGTATCTCTCACAACACATGCCCTCAGGCCCCAACTTAGTCATCAATCTCTCCAGTCTCTCGGGCTCACAAATCTCATGCCAATCTGCCCAAACAATGATAACATGATGTGAAAACAAATGATAACAGAGACTAAGATATGATATGCAAATGAATGTATATGACTGAGTATGTAATTAAAAGTTAAGAAAATAACTCAACAGCAGAGATAAACTAAGTAGGTCCCAACAAAATAAGCATATAGCCTAAACATGATCTCCAACATGATTCACAGCTCATATAATCAAACAAGTAAGGAGAACATGGAGGTAACAAGATATAACAGCAAAACAAGTCCGGGCAAAGTCTAATAGCCAACTAAAATCATGATTTCCCCGGTGCACGCTCACACGTTTGTCACCTAGTATGTGAGTAACCTCAATACATTTATTATAACACAGTTCCCAGGGTTAAATACCCTCAAATATAAGTTTAGATAAGTTACTTACCTCGCACAAGCCGAATCCAATACCGAGCAAGTAAAATAATACTCTAGAAATGCCTCCCCATGCGTATCAAGCTCCGAACGGCTCGAAACTAGCCAAAAGCAACTCACATACATCAATAATGCCTAAGGAAACAATCCCAAATGATAAAGGTGGAATCTTTAATCAAAAGCCCAAAGTCAATCAAAAATCCAAATCTGAACACGCACCTCGGAACCTAGCAAAACTCATAAAATCCGACAACCCATTCAATTACGAGTCCAACCATACTAGTTTCACTCAAATCCGACTCTAAATCGATGTTCAAAACTCAAATATTCACTTTAGGAAAGTTTTGGTAAAAAACCCCCCAATTTCTCTTTCAAAATCATCAATCAAATGCCAAAATAGAAGATGGATTCATGAAATATAATCAAAACGAAGTAGGAAACACTTACCCCAATCCATGTGGTGAAAAATTGCATCAAACATCGCCTCAATCCGAGCTTCATAGCTCAAAATATGTTAAAATGCCTGAAACCTTCGAAATAGAGTACTTAAACGTCTGCTCCAAGTATACTCTTCGCGAACGCGGAAGGACCATAGTATTCGCGATGCACAAAAACTCACCATCACAAAAAGACCCTACGCGTTCATGGCATAGACCTCGCGAATGAGATGCACAACAGATCCAAACCTTCGCAAATGCGGCTACTACTTCGCGAACGCGAAGATATTTCCTCTAGTTCCCAGTTTCTCAACTCAACTCTATGCGAACACGAGCTTAAGGATACGAACGCGATGCTCAGTCCTCATAAAGGTCCGCGAACGTGATGAAGGAAAAAGCCAGCTATCATAATGCACTACGCAATAGCGACCCAATCTCGCGATCGCGAAGAAGGTCTAAAACACCAAAAATCAACAGTGCCAAAGAACATGGAAATGATCCAAAACTCATCCGAAACTCACTCGAGTCTCTCGGGATCCCATCTGAACATACCAACAAGTCCCATAACATTCGAACCCGATATCATCAAAGTCAACTCCCGGTCAAACTTATGAACATTCCAAACCTTTAAATTGGCAATTTTTGCCAAATAGTGTCGAAACCTTCTAGAAATATCCAAATGCAAATCCGGACATATGCTCAAGTACAAAATCACCATACGGACCTAACGGAACCATCAAAACTTTGATCCGAGGTCAAATACTCAAAAGTCAAACTTGGTCAACCCTTCTAACTTAAAGCTTCAAACATGAAATTCATTCTTCCAAACTAATTCTGAATCACTCGAAAACCGAAACTGACGATACACACAAGTCATAATACATCATACGGAGCTACGTATGCCCTCAAAACACCGAGCAAAGTGAAAATGCTCAAAACGACTAGTCGGGTCGTTACATTCTCCCCCATTTAAACATACGT